GGCCATGCGTTCTGGGAGCGTGCACCGGTTGTTGAGGTTGCATATGGAGCTATCGAGGACGAGGCGGGCATCTCGGTCGTCTGCGAGTACGATGTTGAGTTTCCCTATTGCGGTGCCTGCTGGCCAGTGCAGGCGGGCTGCGGCTTCGTCCCCGTCGAAAGGGCGGACGAAACCGCCCTCAATTTCTTTAGCGAGCAGGCTTTGGAGAAGCTCGGGATTGTCCTCTGCGCGCTTCCAGTTGCCGTCGCAGTGAAGGAGGGCAGGCGGGGCTAGGTCGTCATCGGGCAGGTCGGTGTTAGGAAGCCATTGCTTGCTGGCCGGCAGGGGCTCGAAAGCGCCTGTGGGCACGCCGGCGAGCATGAGCTGCACGATGTCTGTGTCAGGGTCTGTCGTTGCTGAGGCAAGCAATTGCAGGAGTTGCAGGCGGAAAGGTTGGCCGGAATCGACGGCCAGGCAGGCGGTGTCGTTGCAGTTGGGGTGCAGGACTTGGTGAGCAATGCGGGCTGCCTGCATACACTGGTCGTCGGAAAGCGGGTGCTCGGGCTTGCCTTGCATGAGGTGCGCGGCGACTTTGTTGGGCAGGTCTTGGCTGCAGGCCCAGGACAGCCAGGCTTTGCGCAAGGATTGCAATGGCGGGGTTTGCCAGCGTGGGGTGGAGTGATCGGCGGTGCTGCGCAGGCCTGCGCCGTCACAGACCCCGGGGCGGGTATGTTGGTGCGGGCGCAGTGCGGGCGCCGCAGTGCGCAGAGGCAGTGTGGTCGTGCTTTGCGACAGCAGAGGTGCTATGCAGGCGGTTAGGGATGTGAGGAGTGTGGCGGGGTAGGCGCTGGGCGGGGCTGAAGGCTGCGGATCGCGTTTGCGTTTGAGCATGTCGACGCGGTGCGTGCCCGGTGGATGGGCGCATGTGGCGGCAAGGTGCGTGCAGGCGGTGCTGTTGGAGGCGATGAGCCAGGAGCCGTGACGGTCCAAGCCATGCGTGCAGAAAGCAATGGCCGTGACATGAGCGCCAGAGGCTTGCAGTGCATGAGCGAGGGCGGGGTCGAGCCACGCGGTGCTGGCAGGATGTGCTTGCAGGAAGAAGGTGCCGCCGGCCGCATTGGTCGCATGCAGGAGGGCCAGGCAGTTGCGCAGGCAGTGGCAGGAGGCTTTGAGGCGCTGGCGCGCGGGTTCTGACAGAGCTGGCAGGCCCTCGGGATGAGAGGCGCTGCGTAAGGCGGATGTTGGCGAGGCACTGTGGGCAGGCGGCATCCAAGCACTCGCAGGCAGCGTGATCCAGAGTGTGCCGATATCCCCCGCGGAGCACATTTGCAGCAGGCTGGCAAAGGTGCCGGGGTGCAGGATGTCGAAGCCGTGCGCGCGGTCCACTGGCGGAGTGGTGAGGCACCCTTTGCTGGCTAGAGCCCGGGTGAGCGGGCTAAGGTGGCCACCGAAAAGCTCGCAAAAGGCGCGTTGCGGGCGTCTGGCAGAAGGTGGTTCAAGTGACGGCTTGCCAGTGTCGGAGCGCTGTGCAGTGCTGTCGGTGCTCGGCGGGGCAGGCCCGGCAGGGGCTGGCTGCGGTGGCGGGCCCGAGGGCGGTGCAGGCGGGATGAGGGCTTTAGGGGCAGTAGCCTTAGGGAGCAGTGCAGGCGGGGCGAGGGCCTTAGGGTCAGGGTCTGGGGGCCTAGGTGTTGAGACCTGGCGGGGTTGCTGTGGCGCAGGCGCTGTTCGCGGGCTCTGCGCCGAAAGCGCAATGGCGGCGCCAGTGTTTTGCAGGCCAAATTGGGCCGGAGGTGAAGGCATGGTAGGCGCGGGCGAGGCCCGGAAGGCAGTGCAGTCCGGCGCCGGCTCCAGGCCAGGCGCCGGCGTCGGACGGTTTCAGGCAGGCGG